GATTTGCCATTTGTAGATGCTATGCTTGCCTTTCCAATTTCATGGATTCCCCCATTGGCGTTGATGAGATTAAATTCATTAAAGGGGAAGATGAATGTTTTGGAGGCATTTGGGATAAGTGGATAATTTCTGTTAGTCCCTTTTTTCGCTTGCCTAGCATCTTCAAGTGAGTGTGTAAATGAAATAGGCAAAATTGTATTATAACAATTTAGGTGACATGTTGTCTACCCATTTGCCTCATGAAAAAAGTTGGTCACTCCAAAGGGACTAGGCTATGCAAGTGTACAAATCATTATGGCTTAATTATGTACATGCCCTCTTGTGCTTTCAAACTTATTTCAGATTACCACCTGTGTTTACAAACGTCTCAAAGTACCCTCAAGGTATGGTTTTTCAACCTATTGAGCTGTTCTTGCTGCTGTGTGTTGGTTAGGAGAAATTTCTGAGTTTTGTAGGATAAATAAGCAATTGAAAATCTGCCGGTTGGGGAGGGGCTGCTATTCTCGAATTTTTTTTTTGGGGGAGGGGGGGGAGGGGGAAGGAGGAGAAAAAAAGAAGAAAAAAGGAAGTGAGACCCAATGTTCGTAACGGAACGTAAAAAAAACTGATGGAACGGGTAACGTGAGACGGTTTTTAAAAGGTTGGGGGGTACTTTGAGACGTTTGCAAACACATGTGGTAATCTGAGATAAGTTTGACACCCCCAATGTTTTCAAACCTGTCCAATTTAATCATTCTATTAAGTTGAATGTGAAGTCAATTGTTAACTGCTAACTTGACCACTGTGGGATCCACCCCTCAACTAACTGACTAGTCCTCTTACAACATCTCAAAGGTATTTTCAGATTGAAAATAGGAAAAAAAATTCCTTTATAAACCTATACCAACGGACCCTTAAATACTTTTAAAAATTAGAAATCAATTAAACAACATGATAAAATAACATAACATAGAAAGAAAAAGAAAACCCAAAACCTAGCCCCCACTCTCCCCAATCGTCGTACCAACACCTACTTGCCTCCATACACATCTACCCCAGACCCAAGGCACCGCCCATCCTTAATCACAACCCACACTTGTACCAACAACCCAACCTAGATATAGTGAGTACGATTGGGCATTTAAACTGACAAAATCAAAAGATTGGCTAATTAGACTGATTAGTCTGGTTTTGTGTGGTTTTATTATACATTCTTTATTTATATAAAATTGGCAAAAAATTGGACAGGACTAGAAATAGATCGATTTGAATTTGGTTGTAAAAGCCTTGAATATGCAGTCACTGAATCGAACGACTTTTGAATTTGTGTTTATAATTTTCGGAGTGACATTAACCAACCCAATGAGGTTTACCCCAATGGGAAAGGGCCACAAGTTGCAAGCCAGTGGTCTCAGGTTTTTAAATGTTAACATGTGCCACCTTCAACAACTTGCATTGCATTGATGAGTGAGTCAATTTTGACTAGTCAAGTGGTCAAACTTTGAATAATTGACCACCAAAATTTTAGGGCTAATGACAAAAGGCCCCCTGAAGGTTTAAGATCATTCTCAATAGGGGGCCTGAGATTTCAATTTTATCAATTTACACCCTAATATTTTCAAATCTATCCAATTTAATCATTATGTTAAGTTGACTGTGAGGTCAATCGTTAACTGCTAACGTGACCACTATGGGATCCACCCCTCAACTAACTGACCAGTCCACTTACAACATCTCAAGGGTATTTTCAGGTTGAAAATAGGAAGAAAAAAAATCCTTTATAAACCTACACCAACACTTCCTTAAATACTTTAAACAATTAGAAATCAATTAAACAACATGATAAAATAACATAAAATAGAAAGAAAAAAGAAAGAAAAATAAAACCCTAAACCTAGCCTCCACTCTCCTTAACCACCGCACCAACACCTACCTACCTCCGTACCCACCTACCCCAATCCCAAGCCACCATTCATCCTCACCCACAACCCACACTTGTACCAGCAACCCACACATGTACCTGTAACCTAACCTAGATCTTCTCTGTAGCACCACCACCACTATTCCGGGCCCAGCTCACCATATCTCTAAGGAAAACTCACCCAGACCTTCCCCGCGCCACCACGACTAGGTTCGAAGCCCTACTCTGTGAGCCACTATATGTGTGTGTGTGTGTGTGTGAGAGAGAGAGAGAGAGAGAGAGAGAGAGAGAGAGTGTGTGTGTGTGTGTGTGTGTGTGTGTTTTTTGGGGTTGGGTAGTGTGTGTGTGTGTGTTTTTCGGGGGTGTGTGTGTGTGTGTTTTTCGGGGTTGGGTAGCGGGTACAGGTGTGTTATGGTTAGGGATAGGTGGTGGTTTGCGAGGCCGGTGGGGTAGGGCTGGGTTGGAGATGGTTTGTTAGGGTAGGTCGGCGACGGATTTGTGGGGTGGGTCAGAGAAGGTGGTTGGGGAAGAGAGAGGATGATTGTGGGGATTAAAGGCAAATTGATAAAGGAAACTTTTTTTTCCTATCTCCAACCCGAAAATACCCTTGAGATGTTCTAAAGGGACTGGTCAGTTAGTTGATGGGTGGGTCCCATAGTGGCCATGTCATCAATTAACAGTTGACCTCACAGTCAACTTAACGGAATGATTAAATTGGATAGGTTTGAAAACATTGGGGGTGCAAATTGAAACCCCGAGTCCCATATTGAGAATGACCTCAAACCTTCAGTGGGTCTTTTGTCGTTAGCCCAAAATTTTAATATCTACAAACTCATTATCAACAAGAAAAATCATAATATGAATACAAAATTATCATTAAACAATAAGTAAATGGAGCTACAAAGTATCAAACAATTCCAAAATTTTGCTCAATCTTAAGCAACCAAATCAATGAAAAACTTCACAAAAAGGGGTACCTATTAAGTTGGGTTCATGTTCCATTGCCCACTTTGTTGTACTTCGTCAAAAGCGACATTGTGCAACCTGTTTAGATAGGGAAGGGAAAGTTTGTTGAAGAAAGTGAGTGAACTCACCACATTAAGAGATGCGAGTGCTTTGATCATTTGCACCACAATTACAAGAGAAGACCAGACATATGGGGCAAAAGCACTCGCACCACATAAGACGTGAGCTCACTCACTTCCTTCAAAAAACCTCCCGTCCTTGTTTTGAAGTTGGCTTCTTTGCATTATCATTCAATATCTATACATGGTTCACCTTCACCAAGTTATGGCTAACTACACCCACAACATAGCTTTATATAAAAGGGGAGAAATACCATTTTGATTAACAAAATTGGTAGAAAATCTAGAGTTGAATATTCGGGGATTACAATACCTATTATTTAGTAAGCCAATTAATTTTGTTCCTCGCTAAGGGCCCAATCCATTATTATTAAATGCTAGGTGTTGGATAATATATGTATTATTTGGAAATTAGTTGTATTTTAAAGATTTAATTATAGAAATTTTAACCGCAATGATTCCTGAATTCATATCGGAATTTCATTTTGGTCCTCCAACTCTCGCATGTGTTCGAATTCAATCATTTTGTAACTTTTCAATTGGTTTTGAGCAAGGACTAAAATATCGATAATATCGATGAAATATCGAGGATATTATCGTTTTTTCAGATCTAGGATATTTTGGAACATATCTATACACATATCGTATAAGTATCGATAATATCGAAACTCTCACACTTTAACAACATTTGGCCAAAATATCGCTATAATATCGATAATATCGACAATATCGATAATATATTATCGAAAATATCGAGACAATGAAAAATTTAAAGAGTTATTTATATTAACACCCTTTGAGGTTTCTTGTGTTTTCACAAAACCCCCTAAAGTCTCAAAAATTACAAGAACACCCCAGAGGTTTTAGTTTATTTTCACAAAACTCCTTTTCGTTGATTGTTTGTCCAAAAATTAATGATTTCATTGAAAACAACTTATGCAAATGACAAAATTAACCTCAATGAAGTATATGCATTCTAATCTCAAAGGCCAACTTTGTCATTTGGAGAATGTTTTTGTATAAAATCATCAATCTTTGGATGAAAAATCAATAAAAATGAGTTTTGTGAAAACAATTTAAAACTTCAGGGGGTGTTCTTGTTATTTCTAAAACCTCAAGGAGTTTTGTAAAAAAGCCGAAAACCTCTAGGGGTGTTAGTGTAAATAACTCAATTTGAACTTTATAGGAACTCTATGTGGTACTAAGTCACTTATGTATCTTACCATGCAATGTATAAAGTGTAAAATATTGTAGTAAATCATTATAAATAAATGATTATGATGTGTTTAATATTCTTTCATTAGTTACTACATATTTTCTACACTCGCAGTGTTTGTCGGGTCGCTATATAATCAACTTAAATAAGTTAAACCCATAATGCAATGCATTTCCTTCCAATTTTTTGTGATAAAGTAATAGATAATTGACTAAATAAACATCCTCCAAAGTTTCAAGAAATTTTTCAAGTTTTTCTCACAATTTCCGTGAGTTTTATTCAATTTTTATCGATATCGATAATATCTCAATATTTTCATCAAAATTTATGTGTTTTTGAACTATTGATATTTCCAAAACCATCCATATTTTAGACCTTAGTATGCACTCCACGAGTTTTTCTCCTCTACTATATTTCTTTCAAATATATTGTACATTCTGTCAAAAAAAAAAAAAAAGAAAAAAAAAGAAAAAGAAAATGATTGGAGATGGGCTGACTAATGTTTGTTTGGGCCTCCTTTATTCGGATGCCTCCTCGTAAGGGAGCTTCTGACCTGAATGTAGAATGCGGAAAGGCTATAATGATGGCCTAAAGTGAGGAGGTTATTTGAGGAGGTCAAATCTCACCATCAACAAATGTAAAGAAATCATGGGACTTAAATATTTTAAATATTTTGACGGTAGGATCGGTCTCCTCAAATTGCCTCTCAAACGGCCCAAGACTATGAAGATTAGAAACGTTCTCTATTCTCATCTCTCTCTCTCTCTCTCTCTCTCTCTCTCTCTCTCTCTCTGCTTGAGTTTTGATAGCGAGCAAAACTGGAGCTTTGGAGGTTGTGGGTTGCTTCTGGCGGGGAATTTAAGGTTCAAGTCAACAACTCTTGTTGAAGGTATGGCTCATTTGGACTAGTGGCCTTCCACTGTTTTGATCAGAAACTAATCAACTGAGTATATGAATTTCAATAGTTTATGCTAATTGAGCTCTTGTTCATGGAGGTTTCTGGTTCAATATGTTCATGATTGTATGCTTGTAACCTAATTTTCTATTTGAATGGCACCCCAACGATAGGGGAGTAATGCTAAATATGGCCAAAATTGATTCTTGAACTGACAAAAACATGTTGGCAAATTAGTGTTACAATTGGAAATTGGTAAAATGGCAAAAGCAGCTCCTACTCTTTTTCTTGAAGATTGGCTGAGGAGTGTCAGTGGCTTTAGCAATAGCTTCAGCTCCAGAAACTATTCAGCTTCATCTGCAAGAGCCATAATTCAAGCATGGGCTGAGCTTAGAGACTGCCTCCAACACAAATCATTCCAATCCCATCATCTTCAATCTCTAAAGACCCTTGTCAACTCTCAGACTTCTCTTCATGTTGCTGAGCCTCAAGCAAAGCTTCTACTTTCCATTCTGTCCTCTCCAGACCTTTCTCTTCCTCATGAATCCTATACTCTCTTTCTCAGGCTTCTCTATATATGGGTCAGGAAATCAGCCAGACCTTCTTCGGTTCTCATTGATTCAGCTGTAAAGGCTTTCTCTAATGTATTCTCTATAACCCAATATAACTCAAAGAAGAGTCCTCACCTCTTTTCTGAAGGTGTTCTCCTATTGGGTTCTTTATCTTTTGCGCCTTCTGTGTCTGAAAGCTCGAAAATAGTCTTCTTAGGGTTGCTCTGTAGGCTGTTGGCAGAGGAGTACCAAGTACTTGGGTCATTTAGTGAACTAATTCCAGATGTGCTTGCTGGAATTGGGTATGCTCTGTGTTCTTCAGTGAAGGTTCATTTTGTTACAATTTTTGATTTCATGTTGAGTATTTGGGGTAAGGAAAGTGGGCCACAGGGTAGTGTTTCCCACGGGCTCATGATTCTGCATTTGATGGAGTGGGTAATGTCTGGTTTGAGCAGTTTTCGTTCTTTAGAGAAAATTAATACTTTTTCCCAGGAGGTTTTAGAGACCGCAAAAGCGAATTATGTTCCATTTGCGGTTGTCATGGCTGCAGCTGGAGTACTGAGGGCCTTAAATAGATCTGTAGTGAGTGGTCTTGGGCTGAACACTATTTCTAGACTGAGAAGATCTGCAGAAGACCGGATAGAATCTGTAGCAAGAGAATTAATTTCAAGAACAAGAGGATTTACCAGTTCAGATAATGATCGCACAGATAGTCTTCTGCTACAGTGTGTTTCAGTAGCATTGGCTCGAAGTGGTGTGGTCTCTGCTCGTTCCCCGTTGTTTATATGCCTTGCTTCTGCATTGTTGACCGAAATATTTCCTTCGAGACGTTTGTACATGAAGGTACTGAAATCAATGCATGGCAGTTCAGCTGTACTGAGGATTAATGAGGTCAAAGAACACCTGGAAAGTCTTACTTTTAAGGAAGCAGGGGCCATAACTGGTGTTTTCTGCAATCTGTATGTTTCAGTAGATGAACAGAGCAAACATATGGTGGAGAATCTTGTGTGGGATCACTGTCAACATATATACATGGAGCACCGACAGGTTGCTTTGGTTCTTCGTGGTAAAGAGGATGAAGTACTTGGGGATCTGGAGAAAATTGCTGAGTCTGCTTTTCTTATGGTTGTTCTTTTTGCACTGGCAGTCACAAAGCACAAGTTGAATTCAAAATTTAACCAGGAAAGTCAAATGGATACATCAGTACGAATACTTATTTCGTTTTCTTGTCTTGAGTATTTCCGGCGCATTCGATTGCCAGAATACATGGATACAATTCGAGGTATTGTTGTAAGTGTTCAGGAAAGTGATTCTGCTTGTGTGTCTTTCGTAAGATCCATACCCACTTATGTTGACTTGACGAATGGCCCAGGTATGGTTTAGTTTCCAGTTTAGCTCTAAAATTCATGTTAACATTTGAATTTTCAGCAGTGAGGTCCTTAAATTTAGTTTTGTCTTTCTCTCATTTTTTAATGATATTTTCATTTGATAAGAGTTGTAATGTCTACCAGACTTTTCTTTCCTGCGGAAAATGGAATATTTATGGTACAATGATGAGGTTCAAACGGCTCGCATTCTGTTTTACCTACGAGTCATTCCAACTTGCATTGCACGCTTGCCTAGCCCTGTTTTTGGGAAGGTGGTTGCTCCAACTATGTTCTTGTATCCTATACTGGACAACTTGATATTTTGGGAACTTTTTTTTTTTTAATATAGAACATGGTGAGCAATTTGATTCCTTCTTACAAATTTAATCAGATATATGGGACATCCTAATGGAAAAGTAGCTCGAGCCTCACATTCTATGGTTTCCGCATTCATATCTTCCGGGAAGGATTCTGATCAGGATGAAAGAGAGTCATTAAAGGAGCAGCTTGTTTTCTACTACATACAGAGATCACTAGTGGTATCTAAAGCAGATGATGACTATAATGGTAAAACTTGAGCTTCATCAATTAAAGGTACCAAATGCTAAATCTTTTCCTTGATGTGACTGCAGGAATATCCTGAGATTACTCCTTTTGAGGGAATGGCTTCTGGAGTTGCAGCCTTGGTTCGACATCTTCCTGCTGGAAGCCCAGCCATATTTTATTGTATCCATTGTCTTGTGGAGAAAGCTAATAGGCTCTGCATTGAAGACTTAGCTCACCAGGATGATATGTGGAAGAACTGGCAAGGAGAGTCGGAGCCTGGCAAGAAAATCCTAGACTTACTTTTACGGCTGATTTCCCTGGTTGATATACAGGTGAACTCATGTTCTGTTTCTTTTACTTAGATATGTTTGGTTTCCCTCTGAAAAGTTTACTGCTGTTTTCCTCTTCATTTTTGTTCTGCATCTGAATATCTAGCTTCAATACCCTAGTTTGTTTGCATAACACTTGGTATAGAAGTAATTTTGCGACATCTTCAATGTTCGAGAGAGAGAGACTTTGCAATTTACCATGAGCGTTGCCTATATTGGCAGTGTTGATGGAATAAAGTTGTCTCAAAAGGTGTTATGAGTTTCTCTCAACTTTGGTTTTTAAACTTTACTGAACATTAGCATTTATGTGTTCAGGTACTGCCAGACTTGATGAAGTTGTTGGCACAGCTAATCGCCCAACTACCAAAAGATGGCCAGAACATGATTCTAAACGAGTTATATTCACAGGTTGCAGAATCTGATGATGTTACACGCAAACCCACTTTAGTTTCTTGGCTGCAATCATTGTCTTACCTTTGTTTTCAAGAAACAAGTGGGAGTACAGCCTCCAGAAAAGTGGGAAGTGAAGCAAACAGCACTTCTGTGAGGACTCCAGACCCATTAAATGATACTAGCCTAAATGCTCGACTATGAGATCGAGGTGCAGTAATCAAGATTACTCACTGTCCTTTTGAATGTGTTTTTTATTGTTCTCAATATTGCAATAATTGAAAGTACCACTCAGTAGTGTTATATGTCTATACTTCCTGTTCAACTCAAAGATGCGGTTGTTGTGAAACACATACAACTTTCATTTATAGTTCCTTAATTCTGTCATAATGTTGTAATTTGTGGGATGTTTCATGAAAAGAGAATGTCTTGCTTTTTATATAAGAGACATTTCAGTCCCTGTTTTAAATCACAGCAGCTTGATCTCTCTTGCATTCAATTTTGGATCCTTCTACTGGAACTTCAGTTTGGTCTTGTAAGATTAGGCATTGGAGATCATTTGAAAACTGGTTATAGGATATTCGATTCATGACACTTGGGGTCCAGAATATGATGGCAATCTCTAATGTCAGAATTGATGTCGACATATGGGAGGTGAACTGTAAGATATTTTCTAAACAAGACTCATGTTCCTTTTTTTCAAACTTCATGGCAAAAGTTGGTAAAATGGAGAAATTATGGAAGAGTAGCATTCGAAGATCGGAGGTGGGGTAACCCAAACCTTCTCACTGTCTCATGATTGATTAGACTACTACTTGAAACTCAAGGTAAGAGCTATCATGGTAATTTACCATGACAAAACAGATGGCGACTTGCGTTAATGCTAACCATATTTCCTAGAGCTAACCACTTGCTCCTTTTTTCAGACCGACTCTGTGGGTGAGTGGAAAACTGAAGATGTTTTCTTCGACATGCCTTTGAATCTGTTACTTGAGCAGTAGTATGAGTTTCCAGTTTGGATATGATTGCAAACCTTCTATTTTGGATAAGACTCAATACCACAGTGACTTGCAAAAGCTTAGAACTTAGGGAAGGCCGTTCAGAAGGTTTACCTTTGATTACCTCTAAGCTTTGCTATTGATGCCCTTCTCCTTCCTTGCTATCCAAATTCCTCATATAATTTGCTGCTTGTTCACTGTTTGTTTTCTCCAATCCTGCTATACTTGCTTGCATCCATCTGCAGAGTGGGGCAAATACTTGTTGGTTTGAAGAACAGCCATATCTAAACAAGTGAAATCAGCTTTCAGCCTGGCAACACAGCCTGCTTCTCTTGAAGAAGCAGAATTTTCTTGGCAGGATCATCTAAATTCACTTTCCTTCTTACAGCCTCCAATTATGTCTAAGTTCCTACTTTAACATCAGTAACTAACAATGCTCATGAGACAGACCTATAAAGAGAAGCAAGAATGTTGGAAATTCAAGTGATTGGATCAATCTGGAACTGGTTGTACTAGAAATTAAACAACCTATGCAGGTGAATCCACATCAGACTCAAAATTTTGCACAAATTGCTCAGAAATTCAGAGCCAAACCTTGGCCAGCTCCGGTATGCAGCTGCTATTAGTACTAAGAAACTGGCGAAAGAACACAAGAGCATTCACCAAACCTCATTAAAATCACGTATCATAAGGGACAATGGGATCACATGAACCAATATTCTTCAACCTAAAACAACTCCAACACAAGAACTACCTCTGAACCTTCATCTGCTAAGGGATGGAAGCAAACAACAATGACAAAGGTTATAGAGTCATCATGCATGTCTTTTTTGGTGTCTTATGACTAAAACAAATGAATATAAACAAGTCCTGTGAATCGACTTAAAGATTTAAAGAAATATTCATACAAGCATTTCAAACATCATATCTTCAAATAGTCACTTATGACCTTTGATTTCTCTAACTGTAGTTCATCATTCCTCAAATTTTTTATATGATTTGAAAGCTATTTACACGCTTTAAAACCCCCATAATCGTTCTTATTTCAATTTTGCCAATTTTATCAGTGTAGTATCATAATTATAGTAATTCAAGAACAAATCACAATTTCCATCAATTTTTTTCACGGCCTAATTATGTGCCCCACATGTGAGGGGTATTTTTGTCCTTTCGTGCCCTTTAATCTCAAAGGCCAAAATTTAATTTTGATCCCTGTAATTTATCAATATTTTCACTTTCGTCCATGTGTTTTTCAATTTTGTCATTGTGGTTTTATAATTGTAGCAATTCAAGGACACGTCACAATTTTCGTCATAAAAATGTAGCAATGCAAGGACATGTCACAATTTTCGTCAATTTCTTTCATGATGTGTCTTTGAATTGCTATAATTATAATAGGGAGTTTCACTAAAACACCCAAAATGGGGGTTGAAATTATAAAAAAACCCAATACCCAAAACACTTTATAAACACACCCAAAACCCATCATTACACATACTCAAAACCCATTTATAAATACACCTAAAAAATATACAATTGTTGATTTTGGGGTTGATTTTAGGTGTATTTCTATGTTTAAATAGTATTTATGTTTTTTTTATAAATACATGTCTAGGGTTGAGTTTATTTATAAATTTGTAATTATAATATTACGACGAAAAAATTTGACAAAATTAAAACTAAAAAACAAGAACAAAAGTGACTTTTTGCCAAATAAGAAAACAGACTGCCAGAGCTTTCCTGAGTGTCCTCCTCCATTTTCGAACACTACCAAAAGCTTTCATGATCAATTCTGTTCTGGTTTTTTGCCGTTTGAGAATCGTAAACGGAGGAGGCTACGTTGAGATATAGCTCTTGCGAGTGTCGCTCGATTTTTGTTGTGCTATATGTTGAAAGCCTGTTTCTATACTTGATCGGCAGGTATTATAATTTTCTTTTGAATAGGTTTTTTCTTTCCAAATTACTTCATTATTTTCCCAATTTGTAGAATTTAGAAAAAGAGTGAAACAGAAGAGCTGGTAACCCAATATTGCTTGCATTGAAGTGGTACCCAATTGGACGCCTTCCGATCTAATTGTGTTTTACTTTAGAGTTTTCATCGAATTTCCATCTTTGATTTCCAAATATCTTGGGGTTAATTCCCCCAAAAATGTATGATTTACATATTTGGTCGGCCTTGTAAGATTTAGATCAGCAGTTTGATGGTTTAAACTTAAATTGAATTTGGGTTTCTGCAAGGTCAGGTTTAGATTCATTCGGTTTGTGGGGTTAGCTTGAATGCAAAGGAAGCAATTGGTTTTGTTTCGTTTTGTTTTTTTCCTTAGAATCTTTAATTGGTGCACATTTTGCTTGGTGAGAAGAACCTGGGAAATGTGTGTTCACGTTTTGGTTATGAGGGTGCTGAAGTTGAGAGGCTTAAAGAAATTCTCAAATTCTGTTCTATATTTGTTCCCAGTATGATAATGAAAACAACTTTTTTTTTTTTTGGTTGTATATTCTCTTACAAAATTAATGAGTTCTAATATTTTGCCACTGTCATGGGCCTTCTTATATGCTTCTTGGTCATCAAAAGAACATGATATTTAAGAAGATTTTTGTTTTTTGTTTTGGAAACAAAAGCTTAAGAGTTTTGGGTATTGGTTGATTATTGAACCTTAAGTTGTTTTATGTTTGTTTGGTGGCGTAGGATTTTGGGATGATAATCAGTAAAACAGAGGTGAACTTGAGGAGGCTGCTTGCAGCTGCTCCTCAGCAACAAAACCAGGCAAAACTTGTACATGTATGATCCTTGTCCTCTCACCTCTGATATGGATGTTGTTAATAAAATTACAGGTCACATGCTTTTATTCATTTTCAGATAATTGATTTGCCCCAAAAAATTTCTGGTTTTTCGTCTCTATACGAAGTCTAATTTTTGTTTTTTGTGTTTCTGGGATGTATACCCTTTATGGATGACATAAGTGCTGCTACTTTGCAGTATATTGCTACTTTACGAGAACAGGTAGAACAACTAGCTGAAGAGAGAACTCCAGAAGGCTTACCAAGGTTGGTATGTGTTCTATTTTCCCCCCTTGGTTTACTTTAACTTTTATTTATTCAACAATTTGATGCATGTACCAATATGCTTCCTTTGTTCTACTTTACAAATCAATCAGAAGGTTTTGGTAGGCATGATTGGAAATATATAACATTCCAAACACTGTTTAGAGTGAATATTCTTTTATACTCATATTAAGTTTTAGAGACATTTTCTCATATCATTTGCGTATTTTCATTGTTTTAGGGATTTTGGGTGGATCGAGTTTGTACAAATGAATATTGTATTGTCATAAGTTATTCTCTCTCTTTAGCCATTTGTGATGTTTTGAGTTATGAACTGTATGTTCTTTTATTTGCAATGCAGAACAAACAATTTCCTGCCTTTTATATTTTATTTTGAAACAATTTAAAATATATAAGATGAATTTTGCTTATCAACTCATAGATTGGATGTATGATTTTTCATTGGGAAGTGGCAGATGTATATGGATTATTGCTGCCTCTGGCTTTGTCTTTCATTTTTTTCTAATTCTTTCTAGAAGTCTCAATGCTCCATGCTTATCCTATTTAATGAAAAGCTCGTGCACCATTTTTTCTATTGAAACACAACTTCAAAGTCGGCAAAAACAACCTGCTAGGAGCAACTACAAACATAAGTGTTTGGGGCTGCATAAGTGTACCTGTGAGAGTGAGTAACCAGTGTGTTTTGTGGTGTACCCATGTAGTACGTGATCTTAGGGAGCAAGTGACACTGGGCACAGTTTTTTGTGATGAGGTGTTTTACTATAGGTGTGAACAGTTTTTCTTTGTGCGGGCGTTACCACAATAAATTCTGAAGTATCTGTATCACTAATGTTTTGGTAAATGCAGAGCGTGATTTTTTATATTATATATTTTTAAAGGTGGGCCCTAATGGTGGCTATGTCTTAATATTTTCATCCTTTCTATTTATATGTATTTTCTGATAGTCTGCCCTTAGAGCTTGTACGTTTCTTAATTTACTAATTGAAATTTTTATTTATGCTTCTATATACAGAGTTTCAAAGGCTGTCTTGAGTGATTATTCAGAGAAGATTGAAGCCATTGCTTCCAAATTAGCTGCTCCACCAGTGAGTACATATGATCTAGAAATCAGATTGTCGCTTTTTGATGAACTGTTGATTTTTTGTACTTTAAACCAGTTAAATCGGAAAATGCTCTTTAGATTTAGGGCTTTCTGAGTAACTTTAGTGTTATGTACAATTTAAAATCAATTTACTAATAATGGGTTTAGTATGAAGATCTGGAAATTATATATGACAAGGTATGAGAAAGAAAAATATTGTTAGGCTGATACAAATTGGGGAGGAGACTGTTGGCACAACACCTAAATATTACTGTGTTTTTTTATTGTTTTATTGTTTTTTTGGTTTTTGGTTTTTTTCTTCTGTGAATGGATGGTTGGACATTTTTAGTTTTTATGCAGGGAACAATTTCTAGAGATTGTTTTAAGTTTTAGGGCCCAACCTATTTCATGCTCAATAAAATACTGAAAATTTCTCCTTTAGTGCATCAGTACATGTAATTTGTTGTGTCAGTTTATGTCATCATCTCGAGAGAAAACCTTTAATATATGGATAATGTCTCTTGCTAGATTTCTACCATGTTATATGGCAGATTTTCAATCTGGCGCCATATATGGAAGCAGGAATCCACCTGATCAAGGGTCCAGATTAACAGTCTGGCAAAAGAATATTTCCGTATAACATATGTATATGTTTGCAATATATGGAGTTCATTGCTCCTAACTGTGTTTTTTTTTTTGGGCAAACTCCCAGCCTGATATTCAAGCACCCCAGGAGTCTCTTGCAAGAATTTCTGTCAAAGCAAACTCTTCTGATACAGGAGACAATCAGTTTCCCCTTTCTCCAGGCCTGAGAAGGAGATTCGTGTAAGTGAACAATAGTTAGGATCATTATGATTACATCTAGCTGCTTGCTAGTGTTCTTTCGTATGATCACATGTTTTATTTTAACTGGTGTTGTTTGTTAAATAGGCCTACCTCAAACGAAGATGGAACTCGTGAGACTCTTAGTGTTGATTCTTCAGCGCCTGTCAAACTGGATGCTGCAGCCCAAGCACACATTGAAAAGCATAGGTATTTTTTTTTCTACTTATTTTTGTATTTTCATACTTTCTCGATTTCTCCTATTAAACTGGAGTAATTAGACTGTGGATGAAATTGAAAACGGGAGTGCTAGAATGTTGGTCCATAAACTGACTCAGTGATGTAATTACATATGAAGCTACTTTTTCCGTATAAACCAAAAAAATAAGTTTGTTCTTGTTTAAGAATAAATAAAACGTGATTCTTGTACAAATGGAAATGACACCGATACCCCTTTGGGAACATCTGATAAAAGTGGAACAACAGAGTCAGGTGAGTACTTTGGGATTAATTGCTTTTATTTTTATAATTTATTTCTTTACATTTGTCTACCTAAAAATAGACCTTGGCCTACAAACGCCAGCCTGGCCATTATTAAGAGTGCTTATTAAAGAACTAGGTCCATGTCCAACACATGTTTTTCAAGTCCATCCGCATCGGAGTTGATCTCTATGTATATCCGATACAACACTGCCAACAGAGGGTGGCTTGAATCAAGATGACCTTGAACCAGATAACTCACCGAAGCAGAGTCTATCTTTCTGTTAAAATTTCAGATGTTAATTTTATATGCTTTCTACATTCTGTTTAGGATTCTTATAAATTTTCTTCTATTGTGACAGAAAGCTTCAAGAGGATTTGACCGATGAAATGGTGGGATTGGCTAGGCAACTTAAAGAAAGTAGTCTCATGATGAGTCACTCTCTGAAAGACACTGAAAAGGTAAGATACTGTAGTTTGTCTAATGCAAGATCTTGTAACCTCGGCACTATTTGTATTTAGGCTGTGGTTTGATTTGTGTTTAGGGGTGATACTGACCAGGGTGAAGTCTTTATGAAGGGAAGCTAAGGTGAAAAAATATTTTGATTTTAGGTGCGAAAATCAGGAGAAATGCTTGAAAAGAGAAATGTTAAACAAAGAAACCAAGGTTGGGACTGTAAAGAGTCCTAGGCCAAAACCAATAGATTTGAAGAGGAGTTTAGGTGGTAATAGGAGAGTTGATTTAACTTTTTGTTTAGAAAGAGTTTAAAGTAAAGGGGATTGGGGAGGTCTGCAAGATGGTATCTGATCTGGTTTCCATGTTCAGAGAATTAATAGAAAGGAAGAAGTCGAAGAATCAGATGATTGGCTTAGCAATCAGACCTAGGAAAAGAAGGATATGCTGCTGAGTATCTTTCATACGATCTCCGAAAAAGTTAGAACGCATTACGTATTCTTATATAAGATGTTGATCTATGCTATTCATGATGGTAATAAAACATAAGATATCTTACATGAAGCAGAAAAAATTGAAGCTGCGTAAAACATACGCTAGGACTCAAATAAACCTAAATTGACTGTGCAGTGCCCCGAGAGAAAACCTTTATTGTCAGACGTATCAAAATTAAGGAAAAAGGTTCCAAGCAATAATGCAACATTGTGTTACTTCAAAAACTGATTTTTGTGATAAATGCCTACTCTCTGGTGTGTCTTAGATGTCAATTCATAGCTGATGGAATAACATATCTTTTGGTCTCATAACTTAGTTATGGCTTGTGTGCAGATACTTGATTCTACAGAGAAGGCTGTTGAAAGTAGCTTGGCAAGCACTGGCCATGCCAATACACGGGCGGCGGATATATACTCGAAGACGTCCAAAACTACGTGTTACACATGGCTTGTAATGTTTGTAATGACATGTGTATTCGTCATGGTTGTACTTTTAATTCGTGTCACTTGAGTGTATGTGGAGTGAGGAAAATTTATCTTTCCTCCCGTAATTGCTATGTATAATTTGCAATGTCGAACAGTGACATAGTTTACAACTTATCATGGACATATTTCCTCAGAACTGGTTAAGAAAACATTCCCTTTCCTCATTCCCGTGATGTAGAAGAAATCCATGGATCCATTCATGAAGTTCGTGACCACAAAGACGAAGGTTCCCAACTCAGACGGACCACAAATTTCTTGGGAAGTTGGAGGCAGTGACGCCGGCTTGCGTGGATCCTAAGCCTCATTCAATTGGTTTGGCTTTTACCAAACAAATTCAGTCCTCGGTGCCAACATCTGGCTGTGCATGAGACTAGAAGGCCATTCTCCCAGTGCAGTTTAGCTTTAGATTAGGACAACAATGCAACGGATAAGGAAAAAAATTATTACAAGCACGCGTATGTCTCTATTTATTGTAATGCATAGCCCCTTTTGTGATGAAGGGTTTTGGCGCTGTTAATCTAAACTATATGTTTATGACGTAAGATGTTAGTCTACATCATTTCACCAGTGATTTCATACGATACGAGTTATTGGGGATAAGTCACTTAAAAAAAATAAAGTTATAAAACCAATAACTCCAACGCTCCATTGAAACCAACTCTGCTCCTCTATCCCTTTTAATTTGGTCAGATGACCCCAAAGATGCTCCGTCAGGTTTCTTTTCATTGACCTTTAGCGACAACGAGACGATCGGGGCCGCCTTGAGAACTGAGCAGCCGTTCAAATACGCTGACAATTACACACACATATTGGGCAACTCTGTTCATGGTCTGGTTTGCATACGCAACTATGTCGATTGGGAAATTGCTTTGTGGAACCCGTCAATTCAAAAGTTGAAGAAGATTCCCTTCCCAACCTTTGAGAGGCCGCGATTTGAAAGACTTGCTTACTATGGATTCGGGTACGATTCTGTTCACGATGACTATAAAGTTGTGGGAATAGTGGATTGCTATACCGAGAGTCGTCAACTCAAGTTCATATTTATAGCCTGAAATCTAACTCATGGAAAAGGATCCAAAACATGCCTTGCAATAATTTTGATTTTCATTCGGATTATATCGTGTTCTTCAACGGTGCTCTAAATTGGCTGATGCACCCGGTGTTAGATGAAACCCCGCACATAATTCAAACTCTTACTCTTGCTGTAAAAAAAGGAATAGGCTAATGTTTTGATTCAACCAGAATACTTTCTCATTACAACGTCAATGATATTTATAAAGTGGTGATCCTAGAATTAAGGAACTCATCAAGGAGCAAATACAAGAAGTCAGCTGTACTACTAAGGCAACAAATATACAGAATCAATTGTAAATCAATCAACCTAAACTATAGGGATTTCGGTGATATCTCAACACTCCCTCTCAAGTTGGAGAGTGGATGTCAAGAACTCCCAACTTGCACAGCATTGTTGAAAATCCTTCTTTTCCTAAAGGCTTTGTCAGGATGTCTGCCACCTGTTGTGAGGAAGAAACATGTTTTGCAACTATTGAACCATCTTGGATCTTGTCTCTGATGAAATGGCAATCCATCTCAATATGCCTTGTTCTTTCGTGAAAAACCGGATTAGCAGCTATATGTAATGCAGCTTGGTTGTCGCAATGTAGTGTGACTGGTTCTGAATGTGTTAGTTGCAAGTCTTGTAATAGACACCGCAACCAAGAGAGCTCACAACATGTGCTAGCCATGGCTCTATATTCAGCTTCCGCTGAAGAGAGAGACACAGTCTTCTGTCTCTTTGTCCTCCAAGAGATCAACGAGTTTCCTAGAAACACACAGTAACCTGTGGTCGACCTGCAAGTCGTCGGACACCCCGCCCAATCAGAATCACAAAACGCCTTCAACTTTAAGTCATCCTGTGTTGGAAAGAGTATTCCTTGGCATGGAGTGTATTTAAGGTATCTGAAGATTCGAACCGCTGCATCCATATGTGGGATGCGTGGCTCATGCATAAACCTGCTGAGCACATGTACAGCATATGTGATATCGGGCCGTGTGATCGTCAAGTAGATTAAACGTCCCACAAGCCTTCTATACTTGGCCGGGTCCTTGAGTATCTCCCCTTCATTTGAGAGCTTGATGTTTTGTTCCATGGGAAAACTTACTGGTCGTGCTCCCAAAATACCTGCATCTTTGAGAATCTCCAAGGTGTATTTCCTCTAGGAGATGCATATACCTTGATTGGAACGGGACACTTCAATCCCTAAAAAATACTTCAAATCACCAAGGTCTTTGATTCGGAATCGAGTGTGCAAAAACTGTTTGAGAGAATTAATCGCAGCTACATTATTTCCTGTAATCAGAATGTCATCGACATAAATTAAGAGAGCTGTAAAAGACTTCCCATTTTTGCAAGTGAAGAGTGAATAATCAGCTTTGGATTGGGTGTAGCCTGCAACTTGTATGGCTTCTGAAAACTTTGCAAACCACTGTCGAGATGCCTGTTTTAAACCATATAGAGACTTATTGAGGCGACATACCAAATTCTCCCCCTGTCGCCGACAACCAGGAGGTAGAGACATATAGATTTCCTCATGGAGATCCCATGAAGAAAAGCATTGTGCACGTCAAGTTGGTGAAGTGACCAATTTTGGGCAGCGGCAAGAGCAAGAATGCACCGAACAGTGACCATTTTTGCTGTAGGAGAGAAAGTGTCGTGATAGTCAATGCCCTCTGTCTGGGTGTACCCTTTAGCCACCAAACGAGCCTTATAACGCTCGATGGATCCGTCGGAGTGATGCTTGATTTTATAGACCCATTTGCAACCAATGGGTTCTTTGCCAGGAGGAAGAGTGGTGATGGTCCAAGTGTGGTTGGACTCTAAAGCCTGTAGTTCCGAATCCATGGCTTCTTTCCAATGAGGATCAAGTACTGCCTCTGCAAAAGAATGGGGTTCCATGCTTCTACTAATGTTGGCAATAAAAGAGAGATGTGATGGTGAATAGCGCCGGTAAGACAAATAATTACAAAGAGGATAACGAGTACCTTTATGATGACTTGGCGAGGAAGACGACATAGGGTCATGTGGGGGCATCGTCACCTGTGAACAAACATAATCTTTGAGAAGAACAGAAGGTGTCTTATGGCGATGAGATTGTCTCAAAGGTGGTGGCGGAAACTGGTGGTGGAGAAGAAATTGGCAATTGTGGCTCTGGGGTGATATGCGGGTCATGATTTGGAAGAGGTGGTGTTGGTGTATCTTGATTGGTGGTATCTTGGTTGTTGATATCTTGGCTGGGTGATGGGCTAAGTGGCGTGTCATAAATAGGAATAGGTAAGACAGATGTTGTTGTGGTGGAAGATTGGTGGGCCAGTGAATGATATGGGAAAGAATCCTCATGGAAGATGACATCTCTACTAGTGAAGAGTTTGTGGGTATCAAGGTCATATAATTTATAAGCCTTTTGTCCAATGGGGTAACCAATGAAAACACATCTCTTGGCTCGGGAAGCAAATTTATGAGATGGGTTGATAGAAGTTGCATAAGCGAGACAACCGAAAACTCTCATGTGTGAATAAGAAGGAGGGTGCAGAAGGAGGCGTAGAATATAGCATCTCTTGTGTGAAAGAATAGGTGTAGTTAATCTATTGATTAAATAAGTGGCTGTGAGCACACATTCACCCCAAAAATGGAGTGGGAGATGAGCTTGAAAACGTAATGCCCTAGCCGTCTCAAGAATATGCCGATGCTTGCGTTCCACAACACCATTTTGTTGTGGTGTGGAAACACAAGAGTGTTGAAAAATTATCCCATTATCCTTGAAAAAAGCACGCAGAGAAATAAACTCTCCCCCATTATCCGCACGGATTTTTTGCACTGGGGAATGAAATTGTGTTTGGACAAAAGAAAAAAAGGATTTAAGTAGACTCTGTGTTTCACTTTTATGGTGCATGAGAAAAATCCAAGTGAACCGTGAATAATCATCAACCACTGTTAAAAAATAACGTGCCCCAGAAAGTGAGGCAATTTTATAAGGCCCCCAAATGTCACAATGAAGAAGAGAAAAATGCTTTGTAGTTGAAATAGAACTAGTATTGAAAGGTAAACGAGTTTGTTTGGCCAATGGACAAACATCACAAATATTATTTGAATGAAAGGGAAAATGTGACGTAGTTTTAGCCATAAATTGTAAACGAGATGAAGATAAATGGCCCAAACGCCGATGCCATAAATGGGTAGAGGTGGTGACAAGACTGCAGGAAGATTGAGGCATGAAGAATAAGGTTTGGAAGCTGAGGATGTAGAACCCAACGCCACAAGGTGATATAGACCCCCACTTTGTTTACCCAAACCAATCGTCGTCTTCGTAGCCAAGTCCTGCAAAATGCACCCAGTAGGAAAAAAGGTTACTGAACAATTCAATCCTTTTGTAAGTTTGCTTACAGACATAAGATTGACCTTGAAAGAAGGGATATGTAAAACATCTCGTAAATGAACTTGTGAATTTAAAGATAAAGTCCCAGTAGAAGAGATAGGAGCCTTTTCACCGCTAGGCAAGACAACAGGTGGCATTGAAGAATTTGAGCATTTAGAAGTAAGCGAATGCGAAGATGATCGGTTGCCCCACTATCGATTATCCACTGATGTAAGGGCAAACTCGACCTTGACAAACCTGATGACAGAGCAGCAGCGTTTGCCTGGGACGGTGGCTGGTCATTCATCTTCTCATTCATCATGGAAAGCATTTGTTGGTACTGTGTCTCAGAAAGATTAGGTACAACAGCTTGTAATTCTTGCAAGGTGGGACTAGAAGTCACATGGTTAGCCGAGAAGGATGCAGCCCCATGCTTGTCACGATTGCCATTCCCATTAGCTTTCTTGGACTTGTGGAGTCGGTGGCCTGGAGGGTACCCATTCAGTTTCTAGCATGTCTCAACAGTGTGATGGTCAACGTCACAGTGTGAGCAATGAAGAGGCCTACGATTTGGATTGGAAGTTCTTTGACTCTGTCAAACCGCCATGGCCGCAGTCTCCATAACAGGTCGGGAGGATCCCAATTCCCGTTGTTTCTCTTCTTGGGAAATTAGGGAATATGTCTTGCGAAATGCAGGCAAGGGTTGCATGAGCAATATTTGTCCACGAGCTGCAGCATAGTACTCGTTGAGTCCCATGAGAAACTGCATAATTTTGTTTCGTTCTTCTTGTTCAGCATGAGTCTTCATTGCCCCACAGCTACAAGGAGAGACATTGTTGTATGATGCTAATTCATCCCAGAGACCTTTCAACTTTGTGTAGTACGCAACGACGGTCATCTGATTCTGAGTAAATGAAGCTATGTCACGCTGGATCTGGAAAATCCTGGGCGTTGCTTTGGGAGAAACGTTCCTCAAGGTCCTGCCAGATATCATGGGCTGTGTCTGAATAAATTACGCTATCGGCTATATCTTGTTCGAGTGAGTTCAGGATCCAAGATAGGACCATATCATTGCAGCACCGTGACGCAGCACAAGCAAATAAGGTTTCAAACGAAAACCTTGAGTAACAAGAAAACTGGAATCCACCAGAAATTAAGAGAAACTCTCTTTGATTAATTTGATTAAAATCTGAACTGCCAAAAAACGTTAGACGAACCCGTCTAAATACACAACTCTCAACCCTTGTAACTGCTAGGGGAGTTATTACAAATAAAACTGAACAACAGAATTAATTCGGAGACTTAACTACGTAACTCCGAAACTGAAAAAAACAGAATTTATTTTGGGAATTAACTATGTAACTCCGAAACGGAAAAACATAATTATTTTGGGAATTAACTATGTAACTCCGAAACGGAAAAACAGAATTTATTTGGAATTAACTTCGAACTTCGAATGCAGTTTTGAAAGGCCAAACGACTCACCACGTCCCTTTTCTTGCTCAACCGCGATTAAATCTGCCATCTGTTCTACATCACATATATACAGTGCAGCATATATAAAAACAAGCAATTAATTAATTTGACGTATGGTACAAGATTAAAAGGCCAAATATGGCACATCCAATTAGTTTCGCATGCACGAGACGAATATGGGGGTTCATATAATTTTCTTTGTTTCATATAATTAAAAAACAAAGGTTATTTTGGATTGCGAAGGACGAGCGGGTCATCTCTTATCAACCCAATTAGGACTATTTTTTGTATTGAATCATCATCGTCTTCACCATCGTTATTATATACTTTATATTAATTTGCTTGTCATTGTTTTGCAACTGTTTATAGTCAATGTATATCTGATCGTCGTTTGATTTGTTTACTAATACATATTTTAATATTGTGCCTTCAATTAATGATGACAAAGAGATACGGTTGAATTTGTTTATAATATGTTTGGGCTGGTCATTACCCAAACACTAACGTTAATCTTCACCCACCTTGGCTTTGAATAATGCAAAAGAAAGAAATGATTGAATATATATGTTATTTGGCCTTGATGTTGGGTTTATGGAGTCATAGTAATCGGCCGGTCAATGGCCATTGCAGCCCAAAATGTTGGTTTAGTTGATC